GCAATGCTTCAGGTCCCATTCTTGAATTTTAGGACAACGTTGGATCGATTTTCACATCATGTTATTATCTAAATTTTCATCAAACTTTTTCCCCAATCATATGATTTCTGAGCTTCCAAAATTTTATGTGACACCTTTTGCTCTAGACACTTCAATTTTTTCTTGAAACCCATTATATTTTATGATCACTTCCACTCACCATATGCCAGCTACAACGTGCCGTTCTTTTTTTGCTGTATCTTATAAAAAATGCTTCTCACTCAGCTTCTTGCCCCGCCCCTTCTGCTCGTTTTCTTTTCTTATTTTTTCGACTATTTGTACAACTTCTAGTCTGTATATATTTGCGCTTATCAGTTATTAGGATTGTGATAAAAGAACGCAGTACCGACAAGACGCCGGCTCATTTCACACCACCACCGTCACAATTTTTTCCGCTTTACTATTATTATTATTATTTATTTTTCAGGAGGAAAATGACTCCAAAAACTAACAAGAAGCTATTAATTGTGGGTGCTGGAGCATCGGGACTTCCATCGTTGAGACATGCATTGCTTTATGGAGTTGATGTTACTTGTTTTGAGCTCACAAATCAAGTTGGAGGACTATGGAATTACAAACCACAGGAGACGACTTGTAAGTTTTCGATCGATAGCTAAACTGATCGATCAGTACTCTTCCAGTATCCTCCGTAATGAAAACCACCGTAATCAACACCTCCAAAGAAATGACGGCATATTCGGATTTTCCACCCGAAGGAACAATGGCAAACTTTATGCATAATACAGAAATGTACAGATATCTTCATAACTATGCGAAACATTACGATCTGGAAAAGCATATAAAGTTCAATCATAAGGTGAATTCAATCCATAGGAATGAAGATTATGACAAAACTGGAAAGTGGAAAGTCAACTATACAGATGAGTAAGTTCTTATTTTATAGATATTTCTCAACATTTTTTTCGTATACGCCTCGCGGAGTTGAACTTGTGGGCCCAGCGCTGGAGATACCAGCTGAGCTACAATAGAGCAAGCTGAGGCGTCCGAACAACGAATATTTTTCATAAAATCAAGTTTTCCTTTCTAGCGAAGGAGCCACCCATGACGCTGTATTCGACGGTATTCTTTTGTGCTCTGGTCATCATACTACACCCAATTGGCCGAAAAAATTCCGAGGACAAAACGATTTCAAAGGACGCATTATTCACTCACATAGTTATAAGGTATTTTCTTATCACCGATTGATAGTATTTTATCAGCAATACCAGCAACAAAAGATGGTTTTCTTTGAAGTTGTATACTCTAGAACACAAAACTTCGAAAACGCTAATACCGTAAAACCTCTAATAGAACGACACCCGGATCGTCCACTTTGAGCCTATATATCTCACTTCTTTTGAAAGATATCAAAAAGTGGTTAACTAGTAAAATGTTTATCAGGATATCAGCAACATTTTACTAGTTAACTACTTTTTGATATCTTTCACAGAAAATGAGATAATATAAGCTCCAAGTGGACGATCCGGGTGTCGTTCTATTAGAGGTTTTACGGTAGTTTGATAATTCAGTTGACAGATTTTTTATATCGCTTACAGAAATTAAGATAATTGAGCTCAAAGTGCAATTATTGGAGATGGTCCTAATACGAATTTTTTTTACAATTCAATCTTCTCTTTTTACCGTTTGAATTCGATTAATTTTATTTGTAAGGTGAATGCAACGAAACTTCGAATATTGAGGATTTTGCTTAAATTTGATTTGAAATGGGGTCAATGAAACAGGAAAAATTGTGATTTGAAAAAAAAGAGTTGCGGTTGACTTTTCAAAAAACTTTTCGACTCGCTCTTCTTTTCCAGAAAATGATAAAAACTTGAAAACTGTTTCGAACACTCTCAGTAAACTGAATTGAATTTAACCCCTTATTGGTAATGCTGTCATCTTTTCGAGCTGCGAAAAGGTTACTGTTCCATGAACATCATAAGTTTAAAGTAATCTAGTTCAAACAATGTAATCATCATTTGTTCCTTCCATCCTAACTATCTTGATTCCTGTGACAGATATCAAAAATATGACAACGACGAAAATGTTTGTTATCAGTTCGCAGTTTTTGATATCTCTTACAGAAATCGAGATAAGCTAGAAGTGCAAGTCTCTCTCTCTCTCTCTCTCTCTCTCTCTCTCTCTCTCTCTCTCTCTCTCTCTCTCTCTCTCTCTCTCTCTCTCTCTCTCTCTCTCTCTCTTCTGGTCACTAGAGATCATTAACGAATTCAAATATGTGTGTAAGTGTGAGTGATGCTCTCTCTTCACCTATCGTGCTCTTTTTATGACTTAATGATATTTTGTATCCCGCAGAGCGAAGGTACAATAGGTCATAACGGCCATCTCTCGATCTCTTCTGATATTTCTTTTTTACTCTATTTACTATCTCATTTATGTCCATTTTTGCTCCCATCCGATTCTAATTTAACCTGATCTTTCAGCACAATGAATTCGTCTTTCATAAAAAAAAAGAAGGGTATTAGGACCTATATCCCAACGGTAAGTCTTCTTTTTTAGCCCTCTAATCGTTCAAAAAACCAGCAAATTCTCAACCGTTAACTTTTATAAATATAGGTTTTATACACTGTTTCTAGGTACTTTGAAATCCCCAATTCAAAAAATGATGTTTTGAATTTGTTAAATGGAAATAATCCTGTTTCGACTTTTGCACTAATTTGTACTGAAACCAGTACTTTTTTGTTTAACACTCTTTAAGGTAAAGTTTCGATTTTTCCTATAAAATTATGTTGTAAAGTTTGATTCTATATACTTCCAAGTATTACGATTCTGAAATTTGATGTTTTTCCCTGTGAAAATTTCTAGACATTCCAAAAATTATTGTTTCGATTTTAGTGTTAATTTGTACTAAAACGTAGTTTTTTATTGAACCCTTCCCACATTCTGGAAGTTCTAATTTCGACAGTTTAAAAAAATCTTTGAATTGATGACTCAAAAATACAATTACTGTTTCAAGAGGCTATGATCAGGGTCCTAGCTAAAAAGTGGACAATGGGTGCTTTTTTCTTCGTAATTGTAAACTTTGTAATGAAAGGGTCCCTTACGAACCGTAAAATCTGTAATAGAAGGGCCCCTTTATTGTCAAGCTTGAGCTCCATTATCTCGGTTACTTCTGATGACATAAAAAAAACTGTCAACTGATAGAACGTTTATCAAAATATCAGCAATATTTTCTTAGTAACAGTTTTTTGATATCTCTCTTAGGAACCAAGTTAAATTGGCTTAATGCTAGAAGTAGGGGGACCTTCTAATACAGGTGCTACAGTACATTAAAGATAGCTATTAATTCAAGTTTCAATTTCATTTTCGCGCATTTTGGATTAAAAATTCCAAAAATTCAGGGGCAGAAGATCAAAAAGGAGGATTGGAGAGAAATGGAGATGTCGATCTATGAGAGCGGCGGCGATGAGACGTCGTTTAGAGAAGTCGCAGAGGAGAAGGACATCTCCCAAGAAATGGTAAGTTTTGGGATGATTTGACTTTTATGATTGCTAAAGACTTCTCAATATTTAACAAGGACACTTTCACCTTGTTGCATGGGTCTGGAATATTGAAAAAATTTAACAAAATTAGAGTTTTTTTGGTGTTGCCATTTTTAAAACTCTGATGAAATATCATAAGCCTTGTCGGTGACCCAAAAAGTTTCACATACATTTTTGAGACCCAAAATTGATGATTTTCTGTCTGAAAATAGATACTTTCAAGCACACCCTACTTACTTTTCGATCACCAAAAATTTCAAATTTTCAGGCTCAAGCAGCTTTCGAAGAAATCCTCCACAACAAGAGACAGGGGGAATCCCAGGTAAGATTTTCGCTCATTTTAGCTTTTCAATAGCAGTTGAATATTTCAGTACCGTTTTCAACGAGACAGATCCCTCGAGGCCTGTCCATCAGATGCCCTGCCGATCGTCTTCATTCCATGCAAGTACCAGAATATGGAGGACCCAAGATGCTGCTTGAATAATATGGATGCCCAACCGGTAAGTTGAAATACTGTTTTACGGAGATTTGAAATTTTGGGAACTTTCTGTCCCATTAGTTTGACTGTTGCACCTAAGATCTGTTGTCTGTAGTCGGGAACCTTGTTTTCCATTAACTATTGATTTTTTTTCCAGAACTTCCAAGTCTTCCCAAAGCCAAGATGCAATCGGAATCTACACGACATCAGCTTAAGTCCAATTGGACGATCTGTGAGTTCTAATTTAGCTAGAGATCATTTTAGAATTCAAAACTTTCAGGGAAGTCTTCCAGTGGATCGCCCTCTCTTCGTGAGGACTTCGACGCCAATGAGACCAACACGATCCGTAACAGGATCAGTGGACTCCCTTCCGTCGGTAAGTTCTACTTTGGGATTGTGTTTTGAGTTGCGAGCATTACCATTCAGTAGCTCAGCTCTTATCTCGTATTTGAAAAAATAATTGATACAAATTTTCAGAGCTCGTCAAGTGATAGTGATCATTTTCTCCAGCCTCGACATTTCGACAGACGTCGCAGGGAGCCGTCGGAGTTGTCATCAGCAGTGAGTTGTGTAGGTGGAGGAGAATAAGTGGCCCTTTTCTGGGTTTGGGTTTTAACAAGTTTTTGAAACAGCTAAAATGATTTCTTGATCATCTATTGGTTCTCAACTTGAGCGCTTGAAAGTCGAGGCGTCGTATTCAACGCTTACCGATCGTTGGTATATTTAAAATGGGGCACAACAATTTTCAACTGTTTCAATTTTGAAGTGAATTCGGAAAGTTTTGTAGCTTCCCGGCTAGTTTGTAGCTTCCCGGCTCCCTTTTGGAACTGTTTGAAGTTGTATTCCGATCGTAAAGCTATTTTTTGCCGTTCGTCCGTCAATAATGACCCACCCAACATCCGTTTATAATAATTGTTTCAGAGTTCGGCACAATCAATTCCGAAACGGCCAAGGACTCATTTGTCGGTGACACAGGTAAGTATACCATGAGATATGGAACATGGATGAGCGAAATTGACTGAAATTGTACAAAAATCAACAAAAACACATAATAAGGCGCATGAATTAAAAAACATACGGTGTGTGTTGTTTTACTTTTTATACAGCACGAATTTAACTGAGTTATCATCGTGAACCGAATTTGAGAAAGACAAAAGTTACCGAAAAATTTGGTCAGAATCTATCACTTTCCAGGCACTATCCCCAGCAGCAGCTCTCGGAGCACCGCTGATGTCTCCAGCGATGCCAACGGCAACTTTTGTCAACTGTGGAGATAGTCAGGCTTCGCAAAGTGGAGCACAGGTAAGAGTAGCAATTTTGCTAGATTAGTTGAAGTTGAAGTCCTATTAAATTACCTGCAAGCTGGTGCGGCTAAGGCGCGATTCAATCTAATTGTTTCTAAAAGGTCACGTTAATCTATATTATTTTTTCAAGCTTTTCAAAAGCGGACAGCCTGACACTAGGACCAACAGACGCGTTTTATAAGGAAGATTGTTTCGACCGTGTAGCCGACGGCTTTGATATTTTACTCGGGCGTCGATTCTCAAAAAATCGAGAAAATGATGAGTTTTTCAGCTAAAAATATGTGCTAGGACTGGAGCTTCGTACATGTCAAAGTGCGGACAAGGATGCTCCGATTCAGCAAACCAGTGGTGATCCTCTTCTTTTCGTGTAGCGGTCCTGATGCTCCCCGATCCCTTTTCTGGTTCCCAAATTGTTATATTATTTGTTAAATTTTTTTTCTTACTGCTTTTCACTTACCGTAAAACCTCTAATAGAACGACACCAGGATCGTCCACTTTGAGCCTATATATCTCACTTCTTTTGAAAGATATCAAAAAGTGGTTAACTAGTAAAATGTTTATCAGGATATCAGCAACATTTTACTAGTTAGCCACTTTTTGATATCTTTCACAGTAAATGAGATATATAGGCTCAAAGTGGACGATCCGGGTGTCGTTCTATTAGAGGTTTTACGTTATTTACCATTTCTCATTTCCCTTCGATATTTTCCAATTTTTTCCTGTTTCTCAAAAATTTTATGTTTTCTCCAGCTAGTTCAATTGTTAATAAGTGACTCAAGCTTATATGAAATAGACCGAGTATGATTTCTCAATTTGCCTACAGTACCCCAGTACCATTTTTTGTCCCGATTTGCCTACTTCTGAACCTCCATGATTCTAAAGTTTACGTTTTTGAGTAGTGATGCTTTCCGGTCCCTTTTCCGGCCCTCAAAATGTTCAATTACCTTTCAAATTTGTTTTTTGATGCATTTCACTGTTGTATCTTTTTTCATTTCCCTGGATCTTCTTCTTTTTTTCCCCCTTTTTTCCCAACATCATATGGTTTCCCCTGCTAATTAAATGTTAGTCCTTTTTTTTACTTCTCAAGAGCTTTCACAAAATAGACCGAGTATGACTTCCCGATTTCTTACAGTACCCCAGTATCATTTTCTTGTCCCGACTCGCCTACTCCTGAACCCGTGTTCACTTATTCATGCATTTCGTTCATTATTTTCATTCTCTCTCGATCTTTTCATTTTTGCCTGTTGCTAATTCAATTGTTAATAGGTTCCGTTTTTTTTCTTGTCTAGAGCTACAGTTTTTCTTGTCTAGAGCTACAGTACCCCAGTATCATTTTCTTGTCCCGATTTGCCTAGATTTTTGCCCCATGATTCCTTGTTATCACTTGATAGAGCTTTCTTTTTTTTTCTCTGATCCTCCTCTACGAACCATATCTCTCTTTCACCCCACCAAACCGTACCTCTTAATATTTCTTGTGTCCCTTGATCTTTCTTTTTTTCTATGTTAAAATTCCTGAAAGTTGCTCCCAAAATGAATAATACAGCTCATTTCGAAATAACGGACTTTTTTTTTCTTCAGGCTGTTTAGACATAAGAGAGCCTAGAAGAGACGCAGATGCGTTTTCCGTGGAGCGCACTTTCTTTTTTGCTACTGCCGTTCAACTGACGTTTATTTACCTAGTACTTGAAGATTTGCGCAAACTTTTCGAAACAAATAAAAAGAAACAATTTCAAAAAATTAATGAGTTACTTAAATAAAATTATTTAATTAATTAAAAATTTCACAATTTCCAATTTTACCCCATCTTTCAAGTTTGTGTTAATTTTTTTCACAAATAAAATTATTTTAGTACTGTTATTAATTACTAATTAGTAACTAGTTAATTGCCCTTTCCTCCTCTTGTATCGTTTTCACCAAAAATATCGGTTTTTCGGTAACATGGGTTCCCTTCTCCCCTTTTTCTTACACTCGCTCATTTGTCTCTGCGTCTCTTCAGTTTCTCCACTGTTTCTCTCATACACGGTGTAATAATGAAGATAAGAACAATGAGAAAAAAAATGAAGAAAACGGAAGAATAGTTCGATTTTTACAGATAGTTTGCTTGGAAAATTGGAAACTGAATTTCAATTTTACAATTTTCGCTGCTTCATGGGTTTTTAAAGGATCCCCCGACTCATATGGATAGGTGTAATGATGATGTGAGTTTTTTTGGTTCGGAAATCCACGGTCGACAACGGCTTAGTCCAATCAGATCATTTTTTTCCGGATAAAAACTTCTTGAACCAGTTAGATAAATTTGGATTAATATCAAAATACGAAAAAGAAAAAAATTATCAAAATTTCATAGAATTTTAAACAAATTCTGTTGATTAGGAACCAATTTTTTGATCCAAAATACATTCTGTGTTTTTGTGATGATAATTCCAAAATTCGCAATTGCTTTCGGTTTCAGAATTCTCACTTTATCAATTTATGAATTGTAAAAATCACTCACGGTCACTCACTATCAAACTCACTATGAATGTTAGAATTATTGTTTTTTCGTAAATTCACAGTTTCCAAATGTTAAAAAATCTTCGAAATTCTTGAGAAATTCTCGTTTTCAAATTCAAAGCATCCAGACAATCCGGTCAACTAAAGGAATTTTTTAAATACAAAAAACATAATTTTGTCACTTTCAGTGATATTTTTGATATTTGAACTCAAAATGTTTCACAATAACTTTCGAATTTTTTATTTAGAAATCGAAAAAATCGTAAAAATTATATCAGCCAAAAACTATTTTATTGGCAAGCGCCTGGTTTGACTGCATAGCTCGGAACTGGAGACTTAATTTTATAAGGATTTCTTAAAAATTCACCGTTTCGAAATATCGAGAAAGTCCCACAGGTAAAATGCGAACGGGTCCGTTACGGA